CTGTAAAAACTAGAAATATTACTTCAGGCACACTTTCTTATACTGTAATAACCCTTAGAATGAAATCTAAAAAGTCGCCTATTGAAGATTACTTAATATGCGAAAGGCAGGTTTCTTACAAAGAATAGGAATATGATTTTTATCTCCTTTTAAACAGAGCCAATATGCGGTTTCTCTATTAGCATGATAATCGATTTTGCAATGTATAAAAGGGTGATTATGGGTATGCCAACCTGTTATCCGGCATTCGATGTATTGTTTTATGAATTTGTGTCCTTAGATTAAGCTAATGGAATGAAATTTTGAACAGAAATTTTTTATGAATCCAATCAGCTCAAAACAGATATATTTCAAATTAATACACCACGTGATGTAAGGTCCATAACAAATGGCCGCCTAAAACGAAATATTGATCTTAATAATATAAATTACCTCAATTTAAAATTTAAAATATACCACAAATATTGCAGAAGAAAGTAAACGATAAATAACCATCTATATTTAAGGTGCCAAAGCATTGGTTTTCCGATTTTTGAATTTTGTTTGATATTATGCTGAGTTAAAAACAAGAGTGAATTTCTTATATGCGTACCGGTAAATCGGATATATTTCTTTCACATTTTTCGAGTTCAAGTTTATTTCGTATCTGAGTTAAAACAAAGTTAAATTTGCTTAACATTCGTGGCTTCAGGGTTGATATATTAAAGTAGTTTTATAATTATTGATATTTTTGGATTCGCCTGCAGTTAGAAATGAAAATTTTGTTAAACTTCAGTTTTCACTTGACTGGTACAATTTGCAAATTATTTGGTTAGAAGCGTTTTATCTTGTTTAGATTTAAAACTGTTTTCAATTAATATTTTAACCTGAACTATGGTACATTCCATCACAAATGTTTAAAATTGTTGCATAAAATATTTATGGAAATGTTGAAGTTACTTTCGCCTACGCTTCACTTTATGGTGTTGGGGAGGGCATGATGACAGGGTTTCACTTGTTCGTGGTTAGGAGTGTTCTATTTGTGGTTGTGAGCACCAGCATTTCGACAGGTTTCCGCTTAATTTTAAGGAAAATTCATGTAAAATTTAACCACAAAAACTAGTGAGGGGTAAAGACATGAAATTGGTTTTGTTTGCGGTATAGGCTTATAAGCTTTAATAGTGCAGTAAATTAACCTGAATGGAACAAAAAACTGAATGTAACTTCATAACACATATAGGTTCATTAATTATAATATTATTTTATTATAAGGATCAGAGATGACGTATTTAGTAGTTAAAAATATATATGCCGAGTTAATTCTACAATACTTATCGAAAAACGAAAGTGAAGACTGAACAGTCAGAATCGTCAGAAGTGATTAATCTCGCAGTGGAGTTAGCAGTGGAAAAATGCAATATAAAAGTTTTGGATACATTGTTTTTGGACTTTTTATTATTTTCTTATATCTTTATATAAATTCAAAATCGAAGTAGGTACCTTGTACAACAATATGCAGTATTCGCATCATTAGATACGAGAGTATGAGATTTTGATGGAATTGAATTTGGAAAATCGGACATAAAGTGACTGTGAGCACTTGTGGACATGTACTTATGTCAAATAAATAATTTGGAAATTTTCATTACTAATTACAACATAATCTACATATGCTTAGGAAGAGCCATATAACATAACGAAAACACTTTTGCCAATATTGGATATAATGAGCATCTCAATGATGGGAACTTTATAAGTAGTTTCAATAAAACAGATGATATCTATAATAATATCGGTTAAATATTTAAGAAAGAATATAAACGCTTTTACTTTAAAGTACATTTGATAAATTATTACCATTTTTGATGTACATCTTTGAGACGTTGGACGCATGACTAAACCTTTTGGCACATTTACGTATAGGATCTACGACCCAGTGAGTATCAGAATTGTATAGTGAAGTCCTATAAATGATTAACTTGATTTTTTGTATGAATTTACTTCAAATTTTACAACTGTTGATAGAAATGATTGTAATAACTTTATTTAAAGCACAACTAAGGATTTTAGACAAGTGTATTTAGTTCGATGACTAGTATATCATATATGAACTCTTCTTCTGACTATTAATAACGTTATATTTTAAAGTTAACATTTTTGATTTTGTTTTATTTGTTATTAAAGAGTGTAAAATAATTCGTTTTTCTTAAATTTCATATATTATTGAGTAAATTTGTCTATCCATGTCATATCATCCGACACTAGAGATTAGAACTTGAACACTCGTACGTATGAAATGTCAAAAATTATGAAGAATTCAAAGTTTTTTAATTTTTTCTTTTTTTTTTTGTTCTCTTAAATTTGTGTCCTTTTGCCATGATTTACTTGGAAACATTAAGGAAACATATGCATATTTCGTACCTGTGCACTTAAACTTTTGACTCGAAGCCATTTTCGTACACTTTGAAATATGTCAAGTAGTGCAAGTTGGGTTTGGCGCCCTTTTTCTTTTCCACTCCTCCTATCTGCAAATAATTACGTTTCAAGTACACATTTTTGGAAAAAACTTTTAAATACTTTACTTCCTTGATAAAAAGTTTAAAAGTTTTTCAAGTAACCAAATTTGTTGCGCTTTCATTTTAAATATGTGTAGCACATATTTTATTTTATTTGCAAAAGTTGGAAAAAAAATGACAAAAACTTGAGTAAAATCACATGAACTGATTTAAATGAATCCGATTTTAAGTTTCTTGAAACTTTTTCCAAAAACTTTAAATAATAGTGCATTATAGAATGAAAAGAATTCAAAACTACAAGAAGTTTAAAGATATAATAATAATTGCTTTATAATCATTTACTCTAATCAGCTTAATAGAAATGAGTTTCTTTAATTCGAGGCTGAGTAACGCCTGATATCTGATAGTGATAACTTTATAGCAGTGGTTCCCAACCGATGAATCCTCGGGAATGATTAAAAATGATGCGTGAATCAAATTAACAAGTATAAATACATAGCTTTTAGTTTGTCCACTGAGTCCGCAGTTATTAGAAAATAAGCACAAAAAATTATCAAATAATTATATATCTATTTTATAGCCTATATATGTACATTATTCTATCTTGCATAGCATTGGGGTTATCGTGAAATAAGTAGAATGGGAACGTGTGAATGGGGTTACTTACGTGATTATATTACTTCAAAAGTATTACAACCTTTATAATGAAATACCATATTTATTTTCCTGGAAAATTTCACGCATACGTTTCGACTATGTAAACACTTCCTACACAAACATCCTCCTTTAAATAGTCGGACGCTAAACCCCACAAACTTGACTTGTTCTGCGTCTTGAACAGTACAACTTCCTATAACTACTAGTTATTAAAATGTCTTTGATATTTCAATTTCCAGCATTTAAATTGAACGTGAGAATACCTCGAAACGGATTTCATATCATGACCTAAGTTATAATCGCACGCGATAAGATAATGAAACTTTTAAACATCTTTGTCTTGCATCTATATAATATCCTCCCTTAACTGAAGACACTCTCCAACGATCGTGGCAGTTATGCGGATATTCAAAAAATTAAAATATTTCACCACTATAATATCATTGCATTCATATACAAGACTCACACACACAATTTAGTAAAGATGCTCAAATTATCAACATTAACAACACTCACATATATAAAATAGTTTTAAGTTGGAATTCCAGATGTGGTTATATATCAGAAAGTTAGGGAAATCGCTTTATTTCACAAAATACATGAAGTGTCTTTTTTTAATAAAAACCTTGAAGTTCCAGAGCAATTTTCTATAGTAATTAGATTATAGATTGCAAACGTGACATTGCATTTCTTAATTAAATTGAATTTGAAAGTAAACCTTTTTACTCGCACGCATTGTATACTCATATTAGCAAAATTTATATGGCATAAAAAGCAAAACAAATGAAATTGTCAGCTAACAGTACCAAAAAAACAAAAGAAGTAATAAAACAGAACACAAAAGTTTTACTAAAACAGAATCAAAAATGAGTAAAAGAGCAAATTAGGAGCAACAAAATTGCTAAAACCGAGCAATCGTATAAGAGCCACCTAACAGCATGCAAAATAGGTAAGACAATTCATTTGTATGAGGAAAGAGGACAAATATGAATTTATCCTCTAAGAGGTAAGACAATTCATTTGTATGAGGAAAGAGGACAAATATGACAAATATGAATTTGTCCTCTTTACATGGATATTTTTGAAGAAATCCTCTGTATAAACATTTTCAATACAGAAATGTTCAATTATTTTATTATTTACCAACCCAGAAATTTTACTACCAAATGACCACATATATATAATAAATAATATAAATAAAGTTTCTAAGATAAAATGAACTAAAATATTTCAGTTGAATTATGATGGAAAATATTTTTGTTGAATTATGAAATATTAAATTTGAATTACGTGCCACATATTTGTAAATAAAATAAAATTTTTCACCTCATATAATTTTGTGATGTTTGCCTTTTATTTAAAATTAGATTTATTTTATTTTATTTTATTTTATTTTACAACTCTTGGTAAGTGTATAAACACTTCATTTATAAAATTTTCATACAGAATTTCAGCAATTTTCAGCAAAAGACCAAGAGTTGCAGAGCTGAATCGCATGTCAAAATTGCATCTTGCATATGAAAATTTGTGGAAGTATGGAATTTTGAAACCATCAGCAAACTTCATAATGAACATATTTCTTTATAAAATAATTTTCTGGTTTTTATAAATATTAAAAACTGTCAACATAGAGAAAATTTCAAATTTTTTGTACGTTAGCTTGTAGATCTCCTAGTATTTACGATAACATAGAGAAGATTGCCAAAGCCATTATTGGTATGGATTATTTTACGCACTTGAAATTTATTTTATGGAAATATCACACAGAATACTTTCTGCTATTTAGTTTTACTTATTTTAATATTAATTAGTTAATATAAAAATATGTACTTTTTTAAGATTTATTTTAAGTGTTTTTAAACTAAAGCTTACTTAACAATTTTCTTGCAATTTTTTAATTTAATAGTAATTAAACCTCTATTTATATTATTTTGAAAGTTATAAGTATTTTTTTTATATGGATATAATCTAGGATATCTATTTCAGACATAAACCATTTTACAATCCACCTGAAGATGAACTGTCACTGGACGAATCTGAGTTTTTTTCTGCCGATAAGTCCATATCAGAAACCTTAGTTGACTTTCCCAAGAATCCTGCCTTCATTTGAGTTAATGAGGGATACGGGTGTTCCTTTGTACTATTTGCTATCTCGTATGCAAATTTTATTGCTTCCTCTGTATCGATGGGTCGTTGTTTAGCCTCCTTATAGGTTTTTAAACATTGTTGCACATCATATACAGCATTTGTCAGTTTTGCTTCGACTTCCATTAATTTTTTACTGTCTTTAACGATTTCCCGTTGCTGTATAAATTTATTTCAAGATATTTACTTCATAATTCATTTGACATATTTTTACAAACTTACTACTTCATTAATTTCTGCGTTTATTTTATCAATTTCGTTTTGAATCTCACATTGCTCCAGAGCAATGTCATGGCAGTCTTGAAGCTCCTTGTGTTTATACAGCAAAAGATCAACGAGAGCCGAACGCTCTTTTAGCGATTCTTCTGTGCATTGAGGTTTAATTAATTTCTCAATGATTTCCCTAAAAAAATTTAATGAAAACTTATTATAAAATATTACTATTTAGCATACTTTGAAATTAATTCAATATCATCAATTATCTGCAGCATTTTTACTTTTAAGCCTCTAGCCATCTTGATAATTGTCTAACTCGGCTAACAACGGTAAACGAATAACGAATCGGAGACGTCAAATGTTGGCTGTGTTTAATGTTTTCTTTGCCTACTATTTACCAAAAGTAGTAACAGTACTTTTTTCGTATTAAATGGTAGGTATGCATTTTGTCGTATTTTTTTTATGAGCCGTTTCTGATTAAATAAAATAATTCTTTATAATTATAAATATAGAAAATACATAACAAATATGGAAATAGTTTGAGGCAGAAATATTCTAAACTATTACTATGTTGAGGCTAGTTGAGTCAGTGCATTTGAGAACTTTTACTCTCTATTAACTGCGAGGTCTGTTTATAACACCTCTCTACGCCTTGACTGGATTATTGTTCACCTCTTCATCAGATTAAGCAATAACTGACCTCAAACTTGCATACCTACCAGAGGTGCCTGTAACCATTCTGTGATTCGATAGCGCTGTGTTGTAAATTATATTTTAATTACTGAGTTAATAATACTATATGTGATAATATATGTGAAAATATTTAGTATATAAAAAACATAAAAAACTTTAAACTTTTAACTGCAAAGATTTTTTTGATGGTGAAAATTTAAACAACTTCTATTTATGAATTTATTTTAATAACAAACTACATGCGTACTCATTTAACAGTTCTGAACTTTAAACACAATTTCTGAGGCAAAAAATGAAATCAGCCAACAAACCAAGTCATAAAAAATATCTGGTAATTTATAAATGTTGGCCACACATTTTAATGCGTAGAGCTTCCACCAGCTCCGGTCGACAAGCCCAGGAAAACCAAATATCCAACATGGTCTCTAGCTTACATATGTCGCACATTATTCATAAACTTTTTCCTGTGTCAGTATAAGGATTACAGAACAACAACAACAACAACAACAACAAAAACATATTGCATACCATACGCTTTGAGTGAATAATTTTTCCGTTTTTCCTTGTCATTCTAGTACATCGCTTTTAGTAGTAGATTTTTTTTTCATTTTTTTATATATATTACTTTTTTCAATTGCGGTATGGAAATGCTTCACATATGCGTTTTTGATTTATTTTTTAGATTAAATTAAGTGCTGCAATCAAAATTTGAAATAAAATTGTAATTTCATTTAATTTTATTTCGTTTTACTTTATGCATGTGAACTGTTATTGAAAAAATAATGGAATAGTGCAATCAGTAACTTCTGAGTTCTTCTACTTCTAAGTCATTTATCAACTTAATTGAGATATTTATTTCGGTTAGATATTCAAAGGAATACATTATCGTAGTATCTTAAACAATAGAAGATTGTTGCGTTAGTGGTTATATTTAATTTAAGTCTGGGAATATTTGTATTTATAGCTGATATGTGGTATAAATAGTTTTGTATATTTAAAAACAATTTATTATTATCTTTCCCTTGATAAAGACTTTATCCATATAAAAAATGAAATGAATATATGTGATATTAGTAATAAAAATAAATTTCTTTTTAAAACAAGAATTGATTGAATTAAGCTACATATTTTCAGCATATAAAAATAATTAAAAATGTTGTTCTTACTGTCAGTTTGTTATTACTTTGCTTTATTAAACCTTTATTAGTCTATTGTTCAGTCAAATCAATCATGTGCATAGCCAGAAAGGAGGCCAGAGAAAGCAAGAGCCACGGTGACTTATTCAGGGGTAGGAGCAAGCTACAATAGTTGCTAATTTTCATTATAATGAGTCCAGTGAATCACAAAAAAATTCGACATAAATATCTTCCAATTGGCAGTATTAACACAATTCTTCAACTCTTACTATAAGTATTTTAATGAACTGCAAGAAAACTTTGGCAAAAAATGTTTTCCACTGTATATACCTCTCTTTAGTACAGTCTTGGTTATTTATACTACGAGAGGGGAGAACTCATTAGAAATATTAAGATCAATACAGTCAGACTAACAATTATTATAACGATTTTGGGATTTGATTTCTATTGTTGCATCCAGCTAATTGTAAATACGCTGTACCTCATATTTTACTTTGCGTGCTTTATAAGAAACAACCATCCGACCAACTACCTCTCCTGTTTTATATATACTTATAAACTAAATTAAGCTATTGCTTGAAATAGGCCAATTAGTCTTTCAGTAGGTGTTGATAACTTAGTATTGTCGCTAATACTCGAAATACTAAAAGGATAACACTTTCAAATTCAAGAGGTTAACTTTGTGATTTCAGTTACTTGTTCGTTCGCTTGACATGACTGATAGTCACTATGAACAATGTGATCATCGCATAGTCAATTTAAGTTGAGTACCTGTCTTTATAGAACACATGAATAGATACCATATTTGAAAAAATCACAATACACACATTAATATGATAAATAAACAAAAATCAATTAAAAAACAGTATGTATAAATAGTATAGTATGTATTTTATGTATTCAATGTATACATAACTATTTACAATGTATTATTATTAAAATTATATTTTTAGTCACTATACACATATAAAAATAATAATTATAATTAAATAATAATTATAAATATACAAAAATCAATTAATGAATAGAAGTCCAGGTATAACAGTTACGAGTATAACAGTTTTCATTTGTAGATAATAACGATTACTGTTGTGTACTTCACACTTGTTTACGCTACCAGACTTGGTTTTGAGTCATCATCATTTGTTTAATTGCTTTCTTTAACAGTTCAACATTAGCAACATCAGCAACATCATTAACTTCAAGTTCGTAATTATCATGGAAATCATCTGTTAAGCAAAATATTGTATCTCAAAACAAGACAAACAAAAACAAAAACAAAATCAAACAATAAAAACATGATTTGTGTTTAAGCAAAAAATTTGCTTTTCTACTTTCGTTCTTCAGGTTTCGTTGTATCTTCAAGTTAACTCTATACCCCGCAGACGACACTTCACATCTACTCGTTCACATACTGTTAACCACAATATCTTCAGTATAAAATTTCCAGTATCTTTAGTTGCGGGTTAGTCGTACTTCATAGCTTCTCGCGGCAGAACTTCACGTATCGTGGCGAAGAACGTTTCTTAAGTCTTTTGTTCAGTCCGTATTAACGTTAAAATCTTAATTCTTCCGGTAAACGAACTTTTCTTTACTGAAATCGCATAAATCGTTGATTAATTATTGAATTATTGAAGAATTTCATAAAAATTATTTTTAGTTGCTTGCGTTAATTATAAAAATTTATAAAATGAAAATTACTTTGTTTGCTTTATGTGCCGTGGTAATTTTGGCAATTGCGTCAGCATCAGGTGAGTAAAGTTCAAGGAAATAATTCTTCTAAAATTATTTAAAATGACAAAATATTGTAATTTTATTTTATTAACTCTTTCGACTTAATTTTAAGTAGTTTAAAGTACAAGTAATTAAAACAAACATTTTTAATTATGAATAAAAAAATTAAATCAAACCATACTTATACTTATGGAACTAATGCTCCCTTGACTACTTCATTTTGAATTTTTTAAATATAAAAAAAAATAAAAGATAATTCCTGTAATTATTTTTAAAAATCTTTTTTGTGTTAATTGAAAATAAAAAATTATTTTTTTTTTATTTTTTGCGAAGTAGTCAGCTTCATCTTAGAGTAAAATATTTCCTATTGTTTATTAATATTTTAAGCAAGCAGTTACATCATCACCTTTTTTGGTCTGAGATTAAAACAAAATTATTTAAGTACAATTTTTTTGTTTTTATTTGCATTAAAATTTATTAAAAAAACAAGATAAACATCGTAATAAAATTAGCTTGACGGTCAACGAATTGTACGAAATATCATCAAACTATTAGTCTACGTAGATTATTTTTTATAGTTTATGACTATGACAGAGCAAATTTAAATACATATATTTTTATAATACATAAAATGGATATATTCTGAATATATGTTTATTTATTATTTGTTGGTGTAAATTATTGATTCTATTCCCTTGAAAGTCAGTAATATCTGTGAGTTCTAAATATGAACGTATTTCCGATTACTGATCTTAAAGTCACGAAGTCACAAATGGTAACAATTTGATCTTAGATTATATGATGCACAAAGCCGTAATTTCAATCTAATTTAAAGTACTAGTAATAGCTGATTAGTATATTATACAATCAGTTTTATCTTAGTTATCTATATCTCAACAATAAGTTTTGAACTATATGATCGTTAACTGAAGATATTTATGTTCTGTCTAGGTGAAGTCATTTATTTATATTTTATTGGTAAACATTTAAATAAGTATTATAAATCCAGCTAAAATACACAAATTTAGCACTTTATGTAGTAATGAAGTGTTTGAAGTGTTAATTTAGTTAATTAAACTAAAGTGAACATAACTTATGAATAAGATTTTTACTTAGTAAAAACG